TACTGTCCAAGTGACAGTAAAATACATCGAGAAGGATGAAGGATAGACTAGTTATTTTTCTTTACAACGATTCCTATTTTTGGTCTACAAATTTATTATTTATTATTTTATTTTTATAGCAAGAAAAAATAGTAAATTCACCAAGTTTAAAATATATATTATCTGGTAACATATATTAGCATAAAATTATTATGTTTTACTAAATAATCAAATTAATTGAATAAATGTCATGAAACAATTTCTAAAGATTTATTGTTTATTATTTTATTTTTGTAGCAAGAAAAAATAGTAAATTCACCAGTTTAAAATATTTATTATCAGGTAATATATTAGCATAAAATATTATGTTTTAATAAATAATCAAATTAATTGAATAAATATCATAAAAAATTTCTAAAAATTTATTATTTATTATTTTATTTTTGTAGCAAGAAAAATAGTAAATTCACCAAGTTTAAAATATATATTATATTTTACACTCATTTTCAGTGACTTATTCACACAATAAAATATTTTACACATAAACTCGAAACTTTTTCCTACTTTTTAACAACATATTCTCCTAATATCATTTTTTTTTACTTCAAATTTTTTTCGTTAGACCAAACACCGCCAGAGCCAAATACGCATATAACAATTTAATAGTTGGATTCATTACTTTTTGTAAGTATTGATGTTTAAATATATAGTTTTGCTACACTTGCATCATGATTAACAACTTTGTTTACACTTTTTGATATGACACACAATTTTATCATTAATTTTAACAACACTTATTCAAATCAATGACTTCGATTTTGACACCTCAGAATGTGCTTGTACAAGTAGTTTGAATCTCAAATATGGAATTGTAGGCAGAGATGTCCAAAGCCCAATATTAGTTGGACTAACAGCATAGGAAAGGAAGAAATGGTTTGAATCATGATTGATATAGGATGATTTTGTACACAAACGTACACGTAGTCACCAAGACGATCCGCCCCTTTAGCACAAATGGACCTCAATAATGAATACCAAGTGCCAAACTCACTGTCAAGACTGACGATGATTTGTTTCTGACTATAAATAATTAAATAAATTTTCGACTTTACCTCCTGCAACATTGAACTTACTTCAAATGCAACTCTAATCCCAAACACTATTAAATAATATAAATAAAGTAAAAATTTCAATTTAAAAACACGAAATTGTTGATTCAAGCCAATTAATCATGTATAATGCCATCTTGGTGTCCCATGGATTTTCGACCTGTGCAACATTTAGATATATGATACGAATACAAAAATAAAAATTTCACCGAAATATTTGGAAAGAAAATGGACTTCTGTATCTTACCAAATATTCAACATCTAATGTAAAAAAATTCTTTTCAGACAACTCGAAGTTCTAAAACAATTTTAGAATATATGAAAGAATATAAAAGACCATACAACCTTACGGCTATTTCAAAGAAAACAGAACTATAAGAACTTCCCAAGGGAATCTAGTTTAACTTGTGATCTTAGAAGCTGCAGAATGGATTTTTGAATCCTCTTTCTTATCAGAATCTCCTGCCTTTCTCTTGTCCTTCCTCTCCCTTTTCTTTAATGCAGTTGTTGACCTCCAAAAATGGCTCCTCCACGTGCCCAATTTGTAGCTACTCCACGTATTCCTCCCTACGAAATGAACAAATGGTCAGGCGCACACGGCCGGAACCGATGGAGGTGGCGGCCGTATACACTTAGACGGTCAAGTCAAGTTTGGGTGGTCGGAGCAGTGCCCTGGGGCTATACAAATCAATCAATAAAGGGGGAGGAGAATATATAAACTTGTAATGGAATGCTATGTATTGAGAGTTTCATTACCTTTGTCTCTTGCCAAACTTTGGGTATTTATAGGTGGTATGAACCGTGGGATGTGGAACACGTGTATACATCTGACGGTATGAAGCGTCTGCTCATCGGCGTCAATCAGCCGCGCTTGTAGAGTGGGCGGACAGTTTGTTTCCCCCGAGTTGAATTGACATAAAGTTGATAAGTCACATCAAATAGCCTCATGGGGATGTTAAATCAATTTAAACCTTATATGCAGAACAAATCTTAAATTGGCGGAGGATCTTCTAACCGGGGTCCACCTGAACCCGACCTGGGAGGTGGGATACTTGGGCAGATCAATAGTAGGAATCGATGTATCACTTCGGAGAAGCTTCGGGAAGGTCGGAGTGGTCTATTTGATCTTCGCCTCGGTGGTGAGATGACACTTCGGTATCGAAGCTCGTAAAATGAGGCGTGACAGTGAATATTTATATTATACGTGGATTTGTTTTCCTGACCGGACCGCGGCGTGGGGGTAGCTGAAACTTTGTAAAGCATGGGAGGAAACGCAGCGCCGAGGCGATGAGCCAATGGGGCGTTCTCGTCAGGTGCGTCCGAGTTTCATAAAATTTTAGGGACTCGTCTCGCACCGATGCGTTGGCAGGAAAAGGTCAACGCGTGGGGAGATGGCTGAAACTTTGTAAAGCATGGGAGGAAACGCAGCGACCGAGGCGATGAGCCAGTGGGGCGTTCGCGTCAGGTGCGTCCAAGCTTCATAAAATTTTAGGGACTCGTCTCGTACCGACGCGTTGGCAGGAAAAGGTCGACGCGTGGGGAGATGACTGAAACTTTGTAAAGCATGGGAGGAAACGCAGCGACCGAGGCGATGAGCCAGTGGGGCGTTCGCGTCAAGTGCGTCCAAGCTTCGTAAAATTTTAGGGACTCGTCTCGTACCGACGCGTTGGCAGGAAAAGGTCGACGCGTGGGGAGATGACTGAAACTTTGTAAAGCATGGGAGGAAACACAGCGACCGAGGCGATGAGCCAATGGGGCGTTCGCGTCAGGTGCGTCCAAGCTTTGTAAAGTTGGGGGAGGAGATCATCCGAGGCGGCCCAAAAGTCCAATGATTTGACAACTGTTGCGTGTTTCCAAGGTGACAGTTGGATACCATGCCCATTCTCCTAAAAGGCTGCTGCGGCTAGTAATTATTATTGACGGCTATTTGTAACCGAGGCGACGCGTTTCAATTTAGTGTGAAAGCCACAGCGACATCTTGGGCGTAGATCAAATCTGGCGTTTTATTTCAACGACCGGGATTGAGGATGCGACGAACGATTTAGATTGATCGCATTTGAATTCAACGGTGGAGATTGGACTTGTCTTTCCTATAAAAGGCGAACTTTGTGGGTTTATCAGAGTTTCTATCTTTACCAGAAGAAAACCAAAATTTGTTCCCAAATTTTCGGCGATTTTCGGCGTTTTGCAAGCAACTCCGACGAGAGAGAACGATACATCCGGCAATCCTGCACCATTTCCGGCTAGGAAAAACTTCCAAACTCGTAAGTTTCAGTACCCATTTGGACTGTAAAAAGTTTCTTATCGAATGGCCTCGGAAGGGAGTTCTGGTTTGGGGAGGGGCTTAGAAATAGTGAGGGTGGACGAGCCCATTGTGGCGACCTCCTCAGAAATAGCTGGGGCAATAATGGGGGGGAGAACATATGGAAGCGACCAGATAGCCCCCCGAATACTTCTGTGCATTTGGGGGCATCGGACTACCCATTAAAATTGAGGGAGGCTGACCTGAGTAGACTTAGGACAGAATATAGGATCCCAGACAGTGTAGATTTGATTCTCTTCTGCGAGGAGACTGTTCTTGGTGACCCCTTCCTTCCCTCCTCGGGGAGGTGGATCTGCGGGGGTGCTCATTTCTGCTGGAAGTGTGGGGGTTGCTTCGATCAGGGCGCCGGTTGGCATCCCGACACTCGCTGGTGTCATGCCCGTATAGTTGATGGAAAGTACAAAATCTTGCTCCTGGCAAAGGCCTGTTTGGCCTCTTTTTCTTCTTCTTGTTGTTGTCAGTTCTTCCAGATGGTCCTGCCTCAGCGGGTGCGTTATCATAAGCCAACACCGGCACTGCGTTCAATATGGTGGAAGCTAAGGCCTGTCCGGATGTGGGAGCTATGGTATGCCCTGCTTGGGTCCATTGCTAAGTAACAAGGTGCGCTGCAGGGCCTCGACCTACCTGCTTTTGTGGGGGAGGGAGTCCCTGCGAGACACGGTTACGATGATCAATCATTTCTTCACTAACAATTCCCACCCTCATCATCTCCACCAGCTCGTCGTATGTGGAGGGATTCTTGTTGCGCACGTCCCTCCAAAACAAAGTGTTCATGTTGAGACCACCTTTCAGGGCTGAAAGGGCTTCCCTATCAGTGACCTGTTCGCAGTAAGTAATCTCATCTGTAAACCTGGCGAGATAGCTTTTCAGCGCCTCTCCAGGGGCCTGCCTCATGTCTTGCAGGCGTTGGATTGGCGCCTCTGCTTCCCTGCGTGAGAGGTACTGGTTCAAAAATGCTTTCTTCAACTCCGGCCAACTTCTGATGCTTAGGGGAGGAAGCCTGCTGTACCACACCTCGGCGGCTCCGCCTAGTGTTAAATGGAAGGCTCTGCACTTTAGAGCAGGTGAGGCTCCCCTAAGACTCATTTGTGTCATATACTTTGTGAGGTGCTTCTCCGGATCCCCTTTTCCCTCATACTTGGGGATCTTAGGGGGCATGAAATTAGTTGGCATTGGGAAGCTTCGGATTTCCCTTGAGAAAGGGAGGTTATCGTCATTGTCGTCAATCTCATAAGATCGACAGGGCCCCTCAAATCCTTGATCATCTTGGATGTCTTGGGGTAAAGGAGGTGCTTTCCCCCGGCTCCCCCAATCGACTAAGTTTCTCCTCTCCCTCCTATTTCTAGGAGGAGGAGGAACATAATCTTCTTCGTGGTCTGACCGGACCGGCCCTTTTGAAGGGCGGACCCTACTGCTAGGATCGTTCCCTATCCGGTCGAAGACGCTTACTGACCTCTGGTCATTGTGTTCTTGAGTAAGTTGTCCCCCAAGAGTGGTTCCGATGGGTGACTTTCCTGCACATAAGATGTCGCTTCGGTGTTCCCCTCTCTTTCGAGAGGTCGTTCTGTGTGCCGGCTCATGTGGCCTCGAGAATGCGACAAAGGGATTTCCTGTACCGGATAAGATCCTTGGGGCATCTGGTGTCCCTGGGCTTGCATGAGAAGTTCCCGCATCGCCATATTCTGAGCTGCTATGTCTCTCATGCCCGCAGCTATCTGGGCCATTCCTTCAGTGAGCATGGCTGTTCTTTCGCCTCGTCGACGCCGGTGATGCGGTCTCTGATGAGCAACATTGTTATGGAGTACCTCTTCTTCAGAGGCCTCTCTGATGGGTTTGTCTTCACGGCTGTAGCTCATCCTACCTCTTCTTTCAAGGGTAGTAAGAACTTGGATTGTAATTCGACTTTTGTTCTTTTTCAAGAATGCCCCCTTTTCAGGGTCAGTCGTCGGTTTTCCGGTGTCTTCTCCGATGGGGAACGTAAAACTTCAAATGGGGAATGAGCTTCCCACAGACGGTGCCAAACTGTTGACCTCCAAAAATGGCTCCTCCACGTGGCCAACTTGTAGCTACTTCACGTATTCCTCCCTGCGAAATGAACAAATGGTCAGGCGCATACGGCCGGAACCGACGGGGGTGGCGGCCGTATACACTCCGACGGTCAAGTCAGGTTTGGGTGGTCGGAGCAGTGCCCTAGGGCTACACAAATCAATCAATAAAGGGGGAGGAGAATATATAAACTTGTTATGGAATGCTATGTATTGAGAGTTTCATTACCTTTGCCTCTTGCCAAACTTTGGGTATTTATAGGTGGTATGAACCGTGGGATGTGGAATACGTGTATACATTTGACGGTATGAAGCGTCTGCTCATAGGCGTCAATCAGCCGCGCTTGTAGAGTGGGCGGACAGTTTGTTTCCTCCGAGTTGAATTGACATAAAGTTGATAAGTCACATCAAATAGCCTCATGGGGATGTCAAATCAATTTAAACCTTATATGCAGAACAAATCTTAAATTGGCGGCGGATCTTCTAACCGGGGTCCACCTGAACCCGACCTGGGAGGTGGGATACTTGGGCAGATCAATAGTAGGAATCGATGTATCACTTCGGAGAAGCTTCGGGAAGGTCGGAGTGGTCTATTTGATCTTGGCCTCGGTGGTGAGATGACACTTCGGTATCGAGGCTCGTAAAATGAGGCGTAACAGCAGTCATCCGGGCTTTCAAGATAGTTGCATAGCTAGCTTGAAAGCGCTGGTGATCTTTTGGACCGACCTGTCATCAAATCAAACAAGGCATGTGCTAGTCAGGTCAACAAAATCACGTAGCAGTTCGAGAAAGTAATTTCCTCCTAATTGATGCAAACAAAGAAGAATATAGTAACAAAAGCATAAATCAACAATAGACGTGCATGCAGACTCACAAATGCATGAAACAAATTATATATAGCAACATGTGTCCTCAGAAGGAAATTGACGTAGAATTAGAAAAGACAGAATCACATTGTTATACATAAATAGGTAGAATATATGGAGACCGTTATACATGGGGCATGAAAGAAATATAAAATGTAAACCAGAACTTCGCCAACATTTCGTTAAAATAGTCAATTGCAAAATACATTTTTTAGCAAAGATACTTCTCAGTGATACTTGTTCACCGGGGAATCTACACTGAGAATGTGCATTTGAATTCCACAAAGTGCTGTATGCTCTGGGGATAGGCATTTGATGTTCAGGATATGGTACTTCAACGTCCTGGTCCTATTGTCATAGTGTGCAATTGCTATCCCCTAGCCACAGACACCACCGTCCTTCATGTCCTAATAGCCCAACCACTACTAATCTAGTAGCCATAAGCAAGACATGATTCCTTTTTTTTTTTTCATTTTAAGCCACGCAGATATAGTTCTCCATTTAATCAATCTATAAATTACATCTTTAAAGCATCCTAAAATGGTAAGCAACAAAGTTTGCTAGTTCCACAAGTAAGCCAGAGAGGGCAATATCTCTAAAAGCAAGAAAATGGTGTACCAATACATTCTAACCTTTCGATGCATAATAATAATAATAATAATAATAATAATAATAATAATAATAATAATTGGCTTCAAAAGAACAAGGCAATTGTCTAAATGTAGAATCATAATTACTGATAAGGGTCTTAAGCAACCGGATAATTCAAAATTTATATAAAAGAACTAATGAGAAAACACCATCTCCCTAAGGTGGAAAAAAATCGAGTAGAATAGAATAAAGCTGTAAATCAAACATAAAGAGCTGAAAGTGAATCCAGAACTTGGTAGGTGGCATTAGGAGCGAATTTTTCCAAAACAAGGCATCATAATTTTCCTGGGATATAATTCAAATTGTAGTACATACATACACCGTGGATATAGTTAAACAAACATGACAACATGCCACTACAGAGAAATTCTCTCTTTAGGCCTAGGGTTCTGCAGTTATGCATCATGGACTATTGTATATCTCAATCTTGATTGCTAAGGCATTCTTGTGAAAACTCTAGAGAATTTTGTGATTGATTAGTATAATTTCAGACAAAAAGGAGTCCTGCTGAGTTTTTGTGTCGAGGGTAAGTAGTTTGTGTACTTCTCACACCTCCAAATTTATTTCTCCCTCAGCCCAACTAGCAACTATACCCATTTAAAAATGGATTAGAGATAGCAAAATAAACCGCCCCGTTAAAAAAAATATGTTAGTTTGAGCATTATTTGCTTTGGATTTTAAAATTTTGAATTTGTATTTTATTCTCTAATAGTAGCATAAAACTCGAAATATTGGGGATTAAGGAAAATATTAGTATCGAGTACTAACATTTACTGCATGTTTTCAGTTTTCACATCTTTACTAAAAGTCTAAAACAATATGTATTATTAGAATTAGAACTCAATATCAAAATTGTAGATTTCTTGCTGCTATCCATGCAGACCGCACCTGCTTCATTGCTTCAGTCACCAAACAATTGCACTGCAGCTCCTGATCTCTACTTGATGAATTACTGATTTCTACTAGACACGGTGGAGAAGCCATGCTGCTCCGGCCTTTCTTGTCACCTCTGCTGTAGTGGTACTTTTTCCATTTCCTGTCTCTCTGTGTGTGTAGGTATGCAATTGAATGTTTTGGAATAGTAGAGAGCCTAAAATTCGATTTTCATTTATCCATATTGCGGAAATTATTAGTGTTCAGAATTAAATTTAGAATTACACTCTTGATGTAATTTTTCATTGTCATGATGAGCAGGCTGCAGAGCTGTACAATGTTTGCATGGTGATTGTTTGCTTGTGTTTTCATGTCTTGTAAAATGATAGCATTAAGGGAGATAAGCTTGAAATACGAGATTGAAGTGGAAAAGAAAATATGTAAACTTATCTTTCAAGACGGAGGTCAATGATATTTTTGGAAATATATTTTGAAAATGTAAAAAATAATAATAATAATAATAAAATCAATCAATCAATCAAATGGGGCAAGCCATCGCCCCCCGCCCCCGCTCCCAACCCACCTCCACTGCCATCTCTAAAATGGAATAGCTCCACTGCCCTTATTTTATGAAACCCTAATTCACATCATTGAACTTTCCTGAATAACAATGCTCAAAGGAATATTGAATACCATCAAAGCTCTTCCTATCCTGTCTTGAGCTCAACCAGTGGATTCGTTCAGGATCCTTCTGCTTGCTCCTTCCTACCTCGCAGAGAAGTTCATTCCATCTTCTGAAAAGTGAAAAACCAAACAGATAACACTCAACTCATACATATTACCTCTCAAATGCCATGTATAAAAGTAGAGCAGACTAAGTGCAGATGCAATTATCCGAAAGTGGATGTAATTTTGTCAAGAAATATATTACAAAAGCGACAACAAACTAAGGCTTATTTGCAATAAATAAGAGGCTAGGTACATGAATCCTTATTTGTTGCTTGAAGATTTAAAGCAACTAGATTTTTGCAACGACAATAAGCTACCTCTCCTTTTGACTTCTTCTACTGAGACAGTATCACTCTTATGAAAGAGAGTACATTTAGGTCTACAAAACAGAGTCTCAAACACCTAAATTGTCATTTTCTTAATTCTCAATGGACACGACATCTACTTGGTGGCATACTTTCTCATTTCTTATATTATCCATTATAGCGTAACCACACATCTATCTTAGAAGCCTCATTTCCATAGTTCAACTTAAAATCTTAAAAGTTGGGCTACGCTTAAGAAGGCTTTGATGGATGCCACTAGTTCTTCTTTCTTTATCCATCAAATCCCACAACTTATGCAGTCCTCCTGTCCCAAAATCTTGTCTAGAAGGAACTGCATGAAATGATGGCTCAGCCGACGTAGCTTAAGAGAACAGCAATTGTGTGTTAATTCCTCAAACTAACCCAAATTTGCTAGGATACGAAAATACTTGCCCATGAAAATAAATACAATATGAGGGAACAACTTCTAAGAAATTACTTCTAATAATAAAACTAAAAGCATGTTTGATTTGGATTAAAATCTGATTTTAATCTAAGTCAAAGTCAAATAATCAATATTAACTACATCCTTCATGAGTCTCACAACTTTTAAACCACACATTTCAAAAACTTCTATCACAATCTACTAAAAAACCTAATTTTAATCCTCACCAAACATCCACTAAAGCAATAATATTCCACACCTCAGAAACATAATTGCACAACATATGCAGGTAAATAAAGAATCATTCAAAACTTTTTAGGGACGGATAAGTTATTTCAAAATTTGAAGGACCATGTTTCCAGTCAATATTCGGCCATTCCTTGAATGCGGGATTATTGTTTTTCCAATGATTTCGTCCTTTATCCAGAAAATTCTTGCCTATATTTGTGGATATCAAATGCTTTTCATCATTTTGGACTAAGTACCATAGTAATATCATGATATCCTCCTTACCTACTTGCATCTGTTGTTATCCTTCCCACCTACTTGCTTATGTTGTTCAAACAAAAGAAATATTGGCTATCCTAGAGCATAGACCTTGTTGGTATTCAAAGAAAAGGTCCATCATTATCTGAATTTTCGTAGTTAGATCAAACGAGAATTATACATCTACTTATTGTATGTTTGGCCTGCTCAAAGGTACATTTGAATAACTAATCAGGATTATTACATGAATGCAGGAAATGCTACAACTGAGCTATAAGCTGCAGACTAACAACTGACAACATATTTTCTGCGTTGACTGACACATTGTCAATTGATTGACACTACAAAGAAACAAGTAGCTAAAGACTATACTTTCCTGAAAAGCACGTCTTACATTTTCTTTAGATAAGTTTTTTATATAAAAAATCACCTGTATAACTGCATTAGCATATTCCTCACCATTAACAGACAGTTCAAGCAGACTCTCAAATAACTATAATTTTCAGCAGATTTGGTCACATGGCTTACAAATGAAGTGCCTTTAATAATGTTCATGTCTGGCTGTTGATTTCAACCATAAAAATATGATAATCAAAATATTGTTTTTCCCATTTAAAGTAACTTATTTGCTGCCTCAGAAACTAGTACCTCTTGCATGCTGAGCAAGGTAACCATATGGTGATTGCTGACCCCTATTCTAACTTAAATCAACTAGATAGTCTCAGCAAGAGAAACTCTCGACAAGCAAGAATAGATGCAGGCCAAAAAACCCCAGGGATGGGGAAGTAGAGCTTTACAAACCAATCGAATTAGGTAAAGAAAATAAATGCTGGAATACTTACCACGGTGGAAATGGTCTTCTTGCCATCAGTTGCTCGAACAAGGCATTTGTACTCAATCTTTTCCCCATATGTCTTCATCTTATTCCTCTGCACCTTAGACTTGTCCGAAGCTGCAATTGATAAAACAAAAAAAGTACAATCAAGATTGTGAGAAATATTCAACAAACAGTATTCCCTCCAAACATTTCCTATCAAGAGGGCATTCATCAAGCAGTTAAGAACCATGTAGAAAGTTAAAAGAGGGAAATTTACAGTGTTTGAGTGTAACCCAAACAGATCCTTTGTCTGTAGTCCGCTCAAACATGTTAGTGAGTTCATTGAGGAAGGGATCTTGCTGTAAGCGCACCTAAGGAAAACAAAGAAAAGATTATCAAAGGCCAAATAGTATATCGCCTAGAACATGAAAAATGAATTTGCAAACTATAAGTTATACCTCTAAGCTCTATATTTTGACAATTCAAACAGAATATGCCAATTACATATGTATGTACACCTGCACAAGCATATCACATTCAATGAACTACAAGTACGAAGGGGAGATGTGAACTCCTGTTGTGTAGTAGAATTTCTAAGATGCATTGAACAGTATTACCATAAGCCACCCTACTATCCCACAGTTCCTCTTCCAAAACATGATCAAAGTAAGATTTAACTGCCACGGCAATTTGATGCCAACAAAACTTTTCATTTAATCCAAAGACAGAAATTGAACTCTCTGTGTTCCTCTTTCTGTGTTGCTTTCAGCCAAGAAACTATATTAATTTCCTTTTGCACCTTAGAAGTAACTGATATCATTTCTCTATAGTTTTCTTTACAGTTTACAGATATTAGATATGAGCCTCAAAGAGTCATTAATCACAATCGATTAAATGAATATGACAATGGTTATAAACTTAAAATTACAGTACCTGCATTCAGACTCAGTGCTACCAACAAAGCAAGTTATGCAAGAAATATTTCCCAATAAAATAAATAAATAACATAAATAAATAACTCTTTTTATGCAAAAAATTCAATGTCAAATTTCACCTACATTGCAATTAACATTTTCAGTTTCTCTTATTCCTTTTCTGAACATCTAAATCCCCACACTTCTGTGACTGCATATATATATGTATAAACACACTATGTAGAAATCGAAAACAACATTTACATATAATTCATCAATTATTAACCACGACAATCCTTGAAGATCATTCTCAGATAATCTATCGGCATCCAAATAGCTATACGAAAATTAATTAGATTTAAACGCAAGATTTATTCCTTTCTTGTATTTTAAAAGCTTTCAAAATTTCTAATTTTCACAACCAAAAGAATCATGGTGTAATATTTTATCAAAATGAAATCGTAGTAGATCGCCATCCATTAAAAAATACAATAAATACATGTGTATCCGTAGAGAATAAAAAATAAAAAAATTACCATGTTGGCGTTCCGCAAAGAATGGAGGCACACAGAGAGTTGATGGTGTTTGGCTCACAAGTCACAAAGTCTTTGCCTTTACTTTTCATTTTTTTCCCCCACCAAGAAATATTTTAAAGTATAAATTGAGAGTTTTATTTAACCCTTCTCCATTCAACTGTGTTTCGCCGTACTTGCTTATTTTGTTAGAAGTTATACATTACACTAATAAAAGTTTATTTGATTCATCGAGCGATTATTATTATTAATTTTTATTTCTATTTGAATATTCTCATATGTCATTATGAGTAATGATGGTGTATGTTGACGCTCAAAAATGGCGCCAACAGGTGTCGGGTTCACGTGGACAAATTCCGATGTGTTGAGATTGCTTGTTCAATTAGACGGTAAAATTGAAGACAGAGGATAAGCCTATGATGCGCAACTAAACGTTATTATTAATTTTTATTTCTATTTGAATATTCTCATATGTCATTATGACTAATGATGGTGTATGTTGACGCTCAAAAATGGCGCCAACAGGTGTCGGGTCACGCGGGCAAATTCCGATGTGTTGAGATTGCTTGTTCAATTAGACGGTAAAATTGAAGACAGAGGATAAGCCTATGATGCGCAACTAAACGGTTCAAACGCCAACTAAAGTGATCAAAAAACTTGAAGATGCGCGAATATAATTTCACATCAACATACTTGGAACGGTCACATATGAATAGAAAGGAAAGGAAATGAATAAAAGATCCAATAGTTTGAAATGTATGGAGTAACATTTATCTTCCCTTCAAAGATGTGCCAAAAATTATTTCCTGAGTTTCCTCCCATTTTCTCTTTCTATATATGTGTTGTTTATTTTGTTCCACGCCCCTCCTTCTTTTTCTTTCAAAGAGGAGGGTACATGTTGAATTTGGGGAAGACTTGATGATCGTTGGATTTGAACCATGTGCCACTACCTTGGTATTCTACGCATTACATTCTTCTTACACATGCATTTATTACATTGATAAAGGGTCAACTGTCCTATATTTTTAGGCTGATATTCCTGACGTAAGATAAAGTAGACATCTAATCAGTCTTTCACAGAGATATTCATCAGGTTGGCAGATGTGGAAGCCTCCTCGTCTTTTAGAATTTCAGCCTCGTCTTTCAGAACCTCGACAAGTCGTGAACGTGAGAACTTCGGCATAAACCCTTCGTGAGGGCTTCAACATGTATCCGATTGAGTAACACCTTGACTAGAACAAGGATTTCGGCTTCTATAGCCTTCGTAACCTTTTTGCTTCGTCTTTTCATATGTTTAAGCTAACTCTTCCGATAATGTCAGGGTGGGGCTTCCACGTGTTGCTTTCTAATGGCTCACTCAATACAGGGAGTAATATTACACGATATATTGTGACATTCACATCCATATGTATGAATGATATGAAAAAACCATCCATGCATGACTTGTAAAAAAGGCAATATGGAAGTAACATGGAGATTTGATGAGTACTTAGACATGATGAATGAGCGAGATGATAATATCAAATATAATGTCATCGTTCTATGGGTATATTGTACTATACTACACATTTGGATATATATACCACGGAGGCTCCAACGATCATTAAGGGTGTCAATGATAGGGCATTTAAAGAACTAGCACTAATATATGGACAATGTTGGGAGGTCTCTTGTTGACCTTAGGATTCCGGATTGGCATAACGAATGCCTGTTCATAGGCCACCTTAATCTTATATTTTATAATTTCTATAGTAACCTAAGCCTCGATAGGCTTTTACGAAAATAAATGTGATCTACTAAGTCTCGATAGACAATGAAAAACCTACGGGCACTAAAAAACATGCATGTTATTGGTTATATTAATACTTGAGTTCATACGGTACATAGTAGTGAAATTCTATCTCGGAGACTTAAAATATAAATAAGTTGAGATATTGAGAAAATGCATGAATTTCGAGAGCAAGATCATAATGAGAAAGGTGTTGTAAATTATGCAAGTGCGTATGATCACATACATTTTTAATTGTCAAGCATGTGCCTTGCATATGTGAATGCAGGGGTGTTAGTTTTAGTGTAAAAAAATATTATTTATTTTATTCTAAATTTTTCTTTTCTATGTATTAATCCAATAGAATTTTCTTTCTTTCATTATTTATTTATTATTTATTTTTATTTTTTCTAGCCCTCCTAGCTCCGCCCTTGTGACGATGCTTATACAGGAGGTTGATATCAACTTCTAAATAATGAGAAGACTATGATATGTACTTGACTGTAGTTAAGTGGGCATATAAAGTCTTCTACGGTCAAGTACATATCAGTTGATTACATTTTATAATGTTATTTTCCAATAGTTTTCTGCTTTATTTAAGTAAAAATTTTATATCAAGTCTTTAAATTATAATTTTTGGTATTATAATTTTAAATGTTTTTAGACTGAAGTATCCTGTTTGGTACTCAGTATTTCAAATTATAATTATTTTATCTATTATTTTCAACCACACAATCCTTCATAAAATAATATTATACATAAATCCAAAATTTTTCATTTTTTTTCAACTATCCATTCTCCAAATATATATATATATATATGAAAATTGCATAGTTTATAATGAAATGTGATGATGGTATTTTGAGAAGATGCTCATGAGAAGTTTCAATACTTTATATAAAACCTTCATCCTTTAGGAAGGAGACCTGACAGGGTGTTTAGTCAGGTGTATAAATGTCTAATACTCTTTATTTATCGACACTACATTTATAAAAAACGAAATCTAGCAAGTAAATGTATGTATTTCGTGCGGGTTCGTCGCTAACAATTAAAAGGGGATCAGACGATTGTGTAAAAGACAAATCTCTTGAAATAAAGTCCCAAAAAGGGGTGTTCTTTATTGGCGATATCTTTACAATCGGAAAGTAAAAACAGAATGCCTGCAAGGGACGCAAGCACACGAGTTACTGAAAGAAGTATTTAAATCTAAACTAAGAAATTTAAAATTATATGTTCTCTGTTCGAGAGTTTTTTGATTCGGGTCTTTTTACTTTATGTATTTTTTTCCTTTTATACTCCCTGGATGATCTCTTTGTGATCAACCGCCTAAAAACTGCTTAATCGTTCTATAACTGCCTACTTTCCTTGTAATGACCAACTTGTCATGGAACTGCCTTTTTTAATTGCTGCCATTACTCTTTGTCATTCAACCGTTTTCGATTGAATTCCTTGAATCGTGGAACATGATAGGGCTGCTTAATAACTGCTTTTGATAACTACGTTTTTTTATAACCACAACACTTCATGTTTGCTAAGACTTTGGGCGACTCGAAGGTTTGGGCGAGAATAGAGTAGCAGTTCTGGGCGACTGCATGGCACTCCATTCGCTCAGATCCTGGGCGATTTGCAAGCTGGGCGATGGTGTTACCGCGTTCATGGGCTTCCCTATTTGGGCCTTCATCCTGAATTGTCTGATTGGGCTTCGTTCTTTTGGCTATCTGATTTGGGGATCCTCCAATTGGGCTTCATTCCTTGGGCCGTTCGATTTGGACTGAATTTTTATGTGTCAACAATTACCCCCCAATATGGCAGAATTAATATCAATTATTAAATTTTGCCATATTCACTTTGTGTTTCCAGCAACATTCGAAATTCCCAAAAATTTCAATCATTGTTTTCTTCCATAACTTGAAAAGGTACGACGTTTTGCAAATCCTTATAACCCCCAAATACGCCATTTCACTGCACCATTAAATCACGCCTCACTTTTTCGGGTTTCTCTCCCACAATTTACTGTTCATCTCTTTGCTTCCTTGCTACGTAACTCTGAAAAACTCCGTTTCATCCCTAATAGCTACTTCACAATCTCAATCTGACGACTTCTTTAGTTCTACCTAGGTCCTTTCTTCAACAATGCAGAGGCAGTCGAACAAGCGGCGGTGGGCCAGCTATTTCCTTGTACTCAAGGCCCTCAATTTCTAAACTCTCTGCCGCTTGGGCCACTTCGCGAAAGAGGTATTCGCACTTGGCCTAAATCTGATGTAGTTTTCCGTAGGTGGCATGCTCGCCTTGTGGACCATGGTCCTACTAAGGCACTTTTTATTAATGTTAGGATTTCTGATTTGTTAGAAATCTCTCTTCAACCCTCTACTTTTGATTCAGCACTTTTTTCGATTGCTTTAAATTTTTGGTCTTTTGAATATAATACCTTTGTTTTCCCTCTTGGTCCCATGTCTATTACTTTAAGGGATGTTGGGGCTCTAGTGAATTTGCCACCTTTGGGCGATACCATTTTTTCTAGTATTTTGGTTTCTGTTGGCGCCCCAAAGTTTGGTAAAACCCTCACCGAGTCTTATTCAAGCCTGCAAACCCTTCATAACCATTCGAGTGCTGAGCCTTCCCATACTGAGCGAGTCGCATTTCTTCTAGTTTGGCTTTGTAAATATGTTTTGTGTGTGTCAAGCATAAAGCCCTCCCTGAGTTATTTACCCATAGCGCACGACTTGGCGCGTGGCAGGCCTCTGAATTTATGTTCTTTCTTCTTAGCTGCCCTCTATAGAGGCATGGCTTCTCTTCAAACTCAATTGAAGAATGGTGCATCTCCCACTGGCAGTGGACCTCTTTGGTTCACTCAAATGTGGTTGAAATCCTATTTTCCATTGCTTTGTGCTCCATCAATTTCTCGTCCTTCTGCTAGCTGTTATGGGCTAGCCATTGAACCCCTAGCTCCTGTAAATATGTCTAGAAGGGACATTTTTTTCATTCTTTTATTCTTTGGATTCAATCCCTTCCTTCTTTCCTTTTCCTCCCTTTTTGACTCCAAACTATGTGCATCCTCCCTCCACTATAAACAGCGCGAGCACCTCTCTACTCATTTGGATCCAGTTGTTAACCGGGAGGGAGTTATTTCATGATATTTTGACTGGGACCAATGCCAAGGCAGGGGTAGAAATATATGCTCCCCAATTTTTTGCTCGCCAACTTGGTTTCGGCCAAACCTGCCCTCCTTGCTATTCAAGGAATTTGATAGACTGCTTCCATATTATTAATAAGGCGGAGGCAGACGTTATAAATACTCGCAATCTTCTTTTGACGAGCCATTTTTCATTAGCCCCCT